AAGACTTCTTTTTAATTGCACAATCTTCTCCCAACCCCCCCGATCAATATAAAAATCAATCAATCAATGCCCTATCCTCGACACGTTGTTTTGTCAGTGATCAGACGGACTAGTCTGCCCATTAAGAACGCAAACCGATTTGTTTGTTTGTTTGTTCATACTTGCATCTTCCCTCACTGGCTCAATGCTTCCCTAGTGATTGTTCCTGGTTTATTGCAAAAAGATAAATGTGTGATATGCAGGTCGCTCAAACATTCATCCATGTAGTTTTTCATCCGTATCTTCATTTTTTGTGGGGTATTTGGCAGATGAATTTGCACTAGATGCTGGAATAAAGTCATTTCTTGACTTGACTTCACTTGCTGCAAGGCTCTCGACTCTTTGTACCTCTTTATTTGCCAGATCTCTTCGTGCATACATCCAGGCAACCAATGTCCAGGAGGTAACAGAACAACACTGAATTCATTCTGGAAGAGTATAGCCATTCGTTTACTCAGTCCTTCTTTTTTGTCCCCTTTTTGAATTGAAAAATTGTCCTACCAAACTAGAGTTAACGTATCAGATGAACCATTTCTCGTGGTCGAATTCAAATTTCTGTTGTCTCAGTCAGCCACGTGTATGCAAACACGCACGCACGCACGTATGTCACTCTGACTCGTTCCTTGTGAATATCTATTCCCTTCAGCCAACCTCTACGCTAATTGGTTTGTGGACTGTCATGCTTGATCGCTACTAATGTACGGACGCTTTTTGTTACTCATCGGTTTACAGGCTGGCGGCGTGTATACGCTACAAATGAGCAAATCACCTACTCCACCGTATGGTTGGTTATTTACTTTATCAACCTAAATACGAACTCTCTGGATACGTGCTACAGACAATTTCCACCAAACCTACAGCGCTTTCAGTGTTTTGTTAAGGGGGGAAGTGTGTCAATTTGCTGCCTGTGTGATGGGTCCACAGTGCGCGTTTGACACACAACAAATCATAGATCACGCCATTGGGTTAAATTCTGGAAATACGTTTTAAGAGAATGGAAGTAGTATGGATTGTGTCGAACATGCGACATGACAGGTACTTTCCACTCGTCGATTATCGTAGCTGTGTATGGGTTATCGGAAAAGTGCCTCGTTATCCAGGTGTTTGAAATCTGCTACCGATCAACTCTTCCACGCGACGTACAATAATTGATATTCTTGACTTCAAGGCTACAACGATCCACGTAGAGAGACACACGCAAAATCCCGGAAGATGGTATTTTTTAACAAATGAGTTTCTTCTACAAAAGCGGTACTGAAATGCAGAATACAATAGTGTAAAATATGCAAGCCTAAAACTGTAGCACTATCCGGTTTAAAAAAATGCCGGAATCTGTGAAGTCAGTAAGTTAACAAACAAGAACTGAGATCAAGCAGGCGTGCGGTGCAATGACAATGGAACAAATACATCAAACAATGTCAGACAAGATCACTTGGTAGTCTATGCTGGCAAGTGACTTAGAGGAGACCACTCGAAACACAGTGGGTATGAATGTTAGTCATCGGGGCCAACCGTGATATAATATGGTGGTAAACATTTGAGTGTGTGTGTGTGTGTGTAAGTGCTTGCGTGTGTGTACGTGCATGCGTGTGTACACAGGGGTCAGGGTCAGTAGATAATGGGCACAGATCGAAGGAACAGGTGAGACCAACTGTAGTAATTGTATTATCAGAAGTAGTAGTAGTAGTGTTGTGAGATACTACTCACTTGTGAGTAGTGATTTATTTCAACAATTGAAAATCAGCAAGATTACCGAGGGCAATTTGCTGCGTCTCAAAGAATAACCACCGATTGCTAGATTCATTACCCGCTGTGTGGACAGGAACTGCGATAGTATGTTTCTGATTAGATTTTTGTGTTATGTATTCCAAATTACTGATGTCCCATCTGTAATCCCGATAAGCTATTATCATCAACCAGCACCGTCTTCTGGAATTACAACAGTAGTAGCAGTAGTAGTAGTAGTAGTAGTAGTAGTGGTGGTGGTAGTAGTAGTAGTAGTAGTAGTAGTAGTAGTAGTAATGGAATTACCCACTGAACATGAAATACAGATCGCTGATTAGCAATCACGGACGAGTCGTAATCACTGAACTACACTGGTGCTTGCATGTAGTATCCCACGTAACCGAGACGCGAGGAAATGGCCACAGAAATAGCAGTTCGTTTATTGAAAGAAATACGGGGGATTGAATAATGTGCACAAAATAAACTCATTGATCATCCGGGTGTCTGGTGTTGTTCAGCTTCTTTCTGGGCCGCACGGTTTCTGATTGGCTGGTACGATCGATCAGTGATGTGTAGTCCAGAAGTTGTGGTACGCACGCGCTTTGCTGACGTCATCCGAAAGCTTGATTTATCATAGTTCTTCTAAAACTGTAACATGTCACTCCAGGATATGCCTCATCTCGCAGGCTGGGATCACCACACCAACAGAGAGGGCAACGAAGCGGAGAAAAAAAAATAGTAGTATGTGCGTGTGCGTAACTGGAGTGAAGAACAGCCTTATGCACAGAGCAATAAGATGATGTCAAAAACGCACGGAAAATGACGATGGACAATAGAGCAGTGGTGTGGAGTGTGTACATGTAAAAAGTGTCAATTTCTGACAATTTATTCAACAAGTATCACTTGATGGAGCTATCAATGAATAGGTGTTCCTGTTCCTATAAAAAATTACTGTGCGCCTCCGTTCCCGGAAAAATTTGGGATAATCTTACCTAACTAGCTCTCCATGGAGCAAATCGCAACCCGGCGCTTTACCTCTTGTTTGATCCTCGACTAGACTGATGAATACGCGTCGTTGAATTGTTTTCTAATAGCTTTCATTATTAGAATAAAACCGGGTAAACGAATAGTCTCGCTTTTTCGTTTATCAGCAAAATTTTTCAGACACCAAAGAGTCCACAATATAAACGACAGATTGACTAAGAACTGCTCAGATTAAAACAATGAATCCATTTTTCAAAGAGGGAATTCATCGTGTATAGAACCAATGAAGCGCCTAATTGAAAAGCTAGAGAGCACCGTTGGATGGCTGTCTTGACCCTGTTGGGTTTCATCAGCTGCAGTGCAAATCTATTGACTTGACTGGGGATCGAACGCGGGACGTCAGTTGGGCCCAAAGCAAGCCTGCTATGCATTTGGCTACCGGGCAGCTGATCAACACGTTTTTCACTGTCTTCGATAAACTTTCAAACAGATCCAGACAAAAGGATAAAAGAACACAGAGTCAGAGTAATCCAATTCAGTTTTACAATATTTGGATTTTTATTCAAAGAAAAACCCGTGTTCCGTTTAGCTGGCTTCTGGATGACCACATGGGTAATACCTTTTCTTTTAGCTTACTGTTTTATTCCTCGACGAGATTAGAGAATGCACGATAGCAGGCGCATAATGATTTGCCGCTTATTTATTTCGATTACTCTAGTTTTCCTGCAATTGTGAGCCCTCACTATAGAAAATGATTTATGTTCTCGAGCATTGCGAATGTAATTCCACTGTTGACACCATGCTTATCGAATCACCTCCTTGTCTAGGTCACCTGGGCGTGGTCGCATAGTCCAAATGTCGGACTGCAAGTAACCTGTTGGAATAATACGTTACCTATTCTCTATCCGTCCATCAACCTCCAACCACAATAACAATTCTTCTCACAGTCCGGATCCTTCGGGCGGACTACAGTACGGTGCACCCAGAGTACGACAGGTTAGTCGTTTGAGGAATTTGTCCTATTTCCTCCATGTAAGTGTTTTCACTTGCGATCCATCAAAGATACCACACAATTTGAACAGACAAAACAATCTTCTTGATTGACATATGGACGAGAACACCATAGGTGGTCACAGTGCAACCAAGAAAACCCGGAAGCACGGAAAACCTGATGCATAACTCGTGTGCATTTCAGTAAGGTTCATTAAAAGAAACTCGTTCTGTCCTGCCGGATAGGGTAACAATATACCCAAGCTTTCCACCATTTTGTACCGATCTCCAGCATCATCTACCTTTTGTGTAGGACGGAAAACTGAATATTCGATGAACCCGGCTGCTAAAAGCTAATGCGTTTTGATTTTGCTGCATTTTTTCGATAGCCTGTAGTGCTTCTGACAGGATTGTGTGTACGCGTGCGCGCGTGCGCTTATTATTGATCGCTCTCAGATCCCATCCGTTACTCGGTGATAATGGCTAAGATAGTTCACCCAAAGAGAATCTAAGGTACACATCCAGATTACTTTTTTGCCGTGTGGAAGATTGTTTTCCATAGCGTGATTTTTATCGTTTGACCTAATAATATGTTGCAACACATGTACCACCACCACCACTACCACCACCACAACCACCACCATCACCACCAAGAGAATCAGGTAAATCTACTGACAGGATTCAAAAAAGAGAATGATTTTTTAGCTCAAGTATCCTGTGAGAGAGGAAGAAGATATGATCAGAGGTGTCTATCGACATTGACGCGCGCAGTGCCATATTCCTTAGTCAACCATCGGTTATTCGTCTAACCCATTCGTTAAACAATATTCCTAATATATAATTCTCATGTGACATAACTTTTAAATAATTGTGATTCTGTTTCTGCTGCAGCACCGAATGGTTTACCCCCTGCACTCTTCGAATTTGAAGCGGCTTCCCGAGCTGGGGAAATCACCCCACGCACATTACGCTGGCTCTCTCCCAGACTGTTCGAGGCCGGCCAAATACCTACCAATTCCAAAAGCCTCGGCAGAGTATAGAGCTGTATGCTACCGAGCGCGTCCCCAGGTCAAGGATAGGGCAACGGCCGTCATCTCGCAGCTAACCATGAATACGTTGGGCTTCGGTCGCAGATCAGCGGCAGCGCTCAAGGATGTAGTGGGTTTACCTCTTGGCAAGGGTTCTCTGTACAAACCACTACAAATATCTGTGGATAGCACTGTGACGTGGCGAGTTTAGCCTGCCACTAAATATGGTCATTGCCCCTTGTCGAGATCCATTGCTCTACAAGCTTTTCCATAAAAGGCGAATGAACCGAAAACTAGCCACCGGCTCATCTGGAACAATACTGCTGCCTTGCAGTCCGCACAAAGGCTAAAGTGCCTCCTCGAACAAGGCCTACTCTGGACCGGGCGACCGAGTAGTAAAATAGCCCATAAAGCAAACAACCATGCACCTTCCTTTTCTTATAACTCAGCACTAAGAAGCTTCCTCACCCGGTGAAAAACATTTTACACCATACACACTTTCTTGTTTTTCCTCCTCCTCCTCCTCCTCCTCCCCCATCGCACCTTTACCCACCCCCCAACACTACGCCATCTCTCTCGGATCCTTCAGACTATCGTACCAACAGCAGTGACTAGGGCGGAAATTCTGCCGCTGTTCACTCTTGTCCTACCTCGACTAGCATTCTCAGTGTCCTTTCAAAATAGCCACGTTTAATGTGCAAACTCTGATGCGTATAGCACAACAGGCGTGCTTAGCTCGTACGCTCGAAACCCTAGCCATCGATGTGTGTTGCATCCAAAGAATTCACATTCAAGACTCCAGCTTAATTATCCGATTGACAACCCCATCAAACCAATCTGTAAAGTCTCACTTACGCCTCTCTAGGGACCCCGAGGCTGCGGATTCCGGTCTTTCTGGCGTTTGTGTGGCTCTCAGTGAGAGAGCTAAAGCCACCCTCCTGGATTGGATTCCAGTCGACCGTAGGTTATCGCAGCGAGACTCAGAGGTTCATGCAAGGTAAGAAGCCCTCGCCACGATAGACGAAACTGGTTTGTCGTATCGGCATACGCTCCAACGGACTACAGTACAGATGCAGTTAAAGATGAATTTTATGGCAATCTAGGCGGTCTCTTGCGTAAAGAGACCAGGGCTGATAACGTGATTTTAACAAGAGATATGAATGCTAGAGTAGGATAGTTGATTCCGGTCGGAAAACGCCGAACGGCTATTGGCTCTATATTCCGACCACCGCCTGTTCCTCACCAGTACGGACTTCAGACGATCCAACTGCCCGTACGCCACTTGGCGCCCACCCTCCTCGAGTCAGTGACGGATGCAAATCTACAACATTGCTATAAGCTACAAATGGCGGGGCTTCATTCAAGACGGCCGATCGAACTAGAACGCTCCCCTCGAATCCGACCACTCATTAGAATGCGCCAAGATCCCCATGTGCTTCAATGGGCATTCCAAACGCACGATACAACGACGGTTAGATTGTGATAAGCTGTCCAAACCAGCTTGTTTAACTGTCTTCCAAAACGCGCCATCTGAAAAGCTAGAACCAACCCCACCCAATGACATTAACCAGTTTTGTTCGTTTATCAAAAATGCTCTGCATTCTGCCGGTTTAGATAGTTGTGGTCTGACATGTCGTGCCCTGACACCCTGGATCTTTGCGGAGTCTCTAGGCCTTCATGACGCACGTCGGTTAATTCCGACCGTCAGCTAGAATAATGAAACACGACTCGCAACGAGACATGAACTTAATGCAAGCCTACGCCGAGACTGCGATATCTGGTGGACCAAACGCGCGTCAGAAATGGAACGTGCTGCCGCCATGGGAAATTTCCGTAAGCTGTTTCATCTCATCCGGGTCACCGGTAGGAAAGCCTTGGGCGTGAGCGAAACAATCTGCAAAGCTGACGGTTGGCCGATTCATAATCAACAGCGACGCCTTGCAGGCTGGACGGAGCACTTCAAAGCATAATTTAGTTCACCGCCAGCGTCAGCTTCTCACACAACTGTTTCGGCGCACGTTTCATGGTCTGCCTCAACTGACCCACCTTTTGAGGTGGAAATTCATCAGGAGATCCAAGCCTTGGGATGTCACAAAGCGCCAGGCTCCGATGGCCTCTCCCCTGCTCTATTTAAAGATGGTGGAATAATGCTTGTTGGAGAACTACAAGTTCTGCTCTCTAAGGTGTGGAATACCGAGCAGGTGCCCTCCTCGTGGGGGGGGGGAATCGATTGTTGTCCCCATCTTCAAAAAGGGCCTACGCAATGACTGCGCCAATCATGGGCGTATAAGCCTGATCTCAATAGCGTCAAAGCTGTTGGCATCCGCCATTCTCCGCCAATTGTACACTATGCGTGAGGAACAGACCTTCGAGAAGCAGGCTGGGTTTCACGCCGGTCGTGAATGTATCGATCAACAATTGCTAGAGCACCGTCATGCCTATCAAAGACCAGCGATCACTAGGTGAGAAATGACGAGGTTCGTCATCGTGTGTTAGGTGTGGATAGTCGTTGTCTAACAGAAGTAATCGCTCTATACCGTCTCCGATGGCTTGGTCAGGTATTGCGCATGAGTGCCCATTGAATAGCTTTCCGCGTTCTCTTTGCACGTGCCGGGCAAGGCTGGAAGAAGTATCGCGGCGGTCAGACCATGACATGGCGTAGAG